AGAACATGATGATGCATGAGAGAGTGTTCATCTCATGCCAGGGACTTGAACAAGCAATAAGAAAGGGGAAGGGGGTCAATGGAATGCAGATCTATGGCATTTTTTTCCTGTTGTTTTTTTTTAGAGAGAGAAACACTGATGTGAGAGAGAAACATGGATCAGCTGCCTCCTGCATGCCCCCTACTAGGAATCAAGTCCACAACCCAGGCATGTGCCCTGACTGGAATTGAACCAGGACCTCTCAGTCCATGGGATGACACTCAATGCACTGAGCCACACCAGCCGGGCTGTGGCAGTTTTTTTTTATTAATTAATTTTTGTTACAGATGTTTCTCCTTTTTTCCCCACTGATTCCCCTTCCCTGCCCTGTCCCCAGCTTTGTTGTCCATGTCCATTGTTCATGCATACATGCATATAAGTTCTGTGGTTTATTTCTTCCCCACCACCCCCTCTTCTGGGGATTGTCAGTCTGTACCCCACTTCCACGTCTCTGGGACGACCCCATTCCTCAGACTGCTATGTTCATTATATTCCACAAATAAGTGAGATCATATGATACTTGTCTTTCTCTTTTTGGCTTGTTTCACTTAGGATGATACTTTCCAGGTCCCTCCATGTCGTCTCAAAGGATAAGAGATCTTTCTTACAGCTGCGTAGTACTCCATTGTGTATATGTACCACAGCATTTTTTATCCATTCGTCTACTGATGGACACTTGGGCTGTTTCTAGATCTTAGCTATTGTAAATAGTGCTGCTACAAACATGGGGGTACATATATTCTTCCTGATTGTTGTTTCAGGCTTCTTAGGGTATATTCCTAGAAGTGGGATTACTGGGTCAAATGGAAGTTCAATTTTTAATTTTTTGAGGTCACACCATATTGTTTTCAAAAATATGGAACACTTCACGAATTTACGTGTCATCTTTGCGCAGGGGCCATGCTAATCTTCTCTGTATCGTTCCAATTTTAGTATATGTGCTGCTGAAGCGAGCACTGTGGCAGTTTTTATAATGTGGCCCTGAATTCTTTACACTCCTCCCATTAATTTTTGTTGTTATTGTTAATCCTCACCCGAGGATGGGATATCTTTTCATTGATTTTTAGATAGAGTGGAAGTGGAAGAAGGAAAGAGAGAGAGAGAGAGAGAGAGAGAGAGAGAGAGAGAGAGACATCAGTGTGAGAGAGACACATCAATTGGTTGCCTCCTGCATGACTCTGACTGGGGCCTGGGATCAAACCTGCAACCCAGGTATGTGCCCTTGACCAGGAATCAAACCCGTGACCCTTTGGTCCGCAGGCTGATGCTTTCCACTGAGCCAAACCAGCAAGGGCGATGCACCTTCCATTGAGATGTGGCATCTGTAACCTCTTTCGAATATGGATGGGTTTGTGACTGCTTTGACCAATAGGTATAGCAGAAGTGATGTCATAAGACTGCCAAGGCTAGATCAGAAAACGCCAGCTTCTAGCTGGCCCTCCTGGGACATTCACTCTGGGCAAGCCAGCCATCGTGTCAGAAGTCCGAGGACCCCGAGACTGCCATGCTGGAGAGGCCTCGTGTTGATCAACTGCCGACCTTGTGAGCGAGCCATCTGGGACATTCAGCACAGCTGAGCTCTGACTATAGCCAAACCACAGGGGGGACCTCAGACAAGAACTCACTGGAGTCCTTTCTGGATGTACAACCTTAAAACTAAGCAGAGTGAAATGGTATATAATAGTTTAATTGACTAAACCAGCCAGTGGTTAGCTACACAGAATAGTACCTGGAGTCAGAGAGTGGTGGTGACTCAGTAAGAGAGCAAGAGAAATAAGAGGAATGGTCAGAGGACTGGATGCTTAAAATCAAGACTCAGGAGGTGGTGAACTTATTTGTACGCCAGCGTCCCAACAAAGTGTAGCTCTGAAGCTTTTCATCTTTATTATATAGTTCTCTTTACAGTTTTAGCTATTGGCGTTTTTATTTCATGTAAATGCTTTCTATACTATGTGAATAGAATCAGAGACAGATGGTTTGCATTTAGTTTTCTAATCTTTGAGAATATTGTCAGAAAATGTCCTCTGACTTCTTAGGGTTGGGTCTGTGGTCGGGATGGCTGAAATTGCATTGTTATTCCAATTTTCCCATACAGGTAGAGTCAGTTTTGTGTGTGTGTGTGTGTGTGTGTGTTTATCCTCACCCAATGCTATTTTTCCATTGACTTTTAGATAGAGTGGGAGCGAGAGAGAGAGAGAGAGAGAGAGAGAGAGAGAGAGAGAGAGAGAGAGAGAAACATCGATGTGAGACAGACATCGATTGGTTGTCTCCTACACAATCTCAGCTGGGGCTGGGGATTCAACCTGCAACCAAAATATGTGCCCATGATCATGAATCAAACCCATGACTCTTTGGTGTGTGGGTCGATGCTCTAACCACTGAGCCAAACCAGCCAGGGCAGTTTTGTTTTCTACTATCTATACAACAGCACAGACCAAAGTATGAAAATGGTGGAGTCAAAACCTCTTGACTTGTCATTTAAGCAAAGGAAATGGAGCCTGGGAGGACAGTGGGTGGTCAGGAATGCAGGAGGAAAATCAACAGTGTTTGGGGCCCACCTTTGAGGAAAGAGGATGTCAGGAGGGCTTGGCCAGCTTTTTGTGGACCTTAGTTCTTTCATCCATACAGGGGTGCTCTAAGGACCATATGAGGTAACACATGTAAATTTAATGAAATGTGCAAGAGGTAAGGGGCATAAACCCCTTCAGGAAAGAGATTTTGCCTTTTTGTCAATGTATCCCTGAGCCGGAAAAAACAGAGTCCTGAGGGTTTGGGAGGAGATGGGCCGAGTGTAAGCAGCAGGGGGAGGAGGAACATAGATCATGAATAAGAACCTTGATCATAAATAAGCCCATGCCTGGGGCTGTACACATGCTGTATCATGTGACCCTCATGGCATCAATGTCCGGATAAAGAAACTGAGGTACATAGGATTGAGTAACTTGTCCATGTTCATAAACTTGATGGCAAGACAAAGACCCTACGGATGGCGACCTTCTGTGCTCTGGAGACATATGGAAGACTTCAGAAAAAATGGGAGTTGGAGACCCCCACTTCATGATTTTTATATTCATGGGGGGGGGCGCAAATCATCTGATAAGAGGAGGGAAGGGGAGAGAAGCTTTGATCTGAGGTGGGCGGTAGGGATGTCAGGCTTCAAGGCTGGTGCAGTCCCAGGTGGAGGTGAGTCCTGAGGTCTTTATGGGAGGACCACTGGAGTCAAGAGAACCAAAGACTGTTGACTGATTAGAAGTTAAGGAACTGACTGACCAGGGCATTGGATGGGTCATTTATGCAAATGTTCAAGTTAACCAGTTAGATGGCAAGACTCAGGATCACGAGAAAATCTGGGAAGTTGGGGTCAAAACTCTGAATTCTGGGAAGAGATCTGGAGTTTTGTGGAGATAGTCAGGGAGTGGTTAATATGTCCAGACTCCTCAGAAGATGGCAATATTTTTAGGGGTTCTAAAATTGAAAAGACAGCATAATGACAACAATTTAATGCCCCAGATCTGGTAGAGCTCATAAGTCCTCTCATTTACCCATTCATTCATTCATTCATTCATTCATTTGCTGAGCACCTACTTGGTGCCAAGCAGTGTGATTGGAGCTTGGAGGTTTAAAAATAGGTAAGATAGTATCTCTGCTCTCCTGAAACTCTCAGTCTTTAGGGAGGGAAACAAACGAATAAATGCCATTATTAGAGAAACACTGTAATTGAGATAAAATCTATATAGATTGTAGGGGCGCAAAACAGAGCATGGTCTGCCCCTGGCTGTTCCCTCTGGGCTGGGATGATTGCCACCCAGAGAATGGATGGTCTTGTTCTTCCCAACAGCATGAATTCCTGCCCTGGTTTCCAGGCATTAATCACTCAAGTACATCATCCTTCCCTCAGAAATAATTTTCTACAGAAATAATTTAGACAAAGAAATGTCAGGGTACATAAATTCATTGCGTTCTTGCTGGAACTCCTGCTTCCTGCTTTAGCCAAATCTACACAAGGTCTTCCTAACCTGTCTCTGTCAGCTCTCCTTATAGCTGTGGCCTGTCCTTCCCTCACTCCAACGCCAGATGACCCTGACCAAACCCAACTCTTGAGCTCCATTTCAGACATTGCTCTCCTCACACAGCTCGTACCCTAAACAATGCCAGTCACATAGCTGGAGCTTGAGAAAATGTTTCCAGTTGAATGAACACAGCCTCTGGGTTAACTGTACCCAGTGCCCATCAATACCTCTGTCCAGCCTGTATGGTCTGCACTATGTGCTGGAAGTTCAGTTTTAGCCCCAATCAGCATCCTCTTTGTGGTCCACTCTGAATCCAGCCGGGATCAGCATCCTCAGCAGATGTCTGTGTTCTTCTCCAGTCAGCACCCTTTCTGGGACAGCTCCTCCGGCCCCGATCAGCGCCCAAGGGCGGACAGCTCTCCCGCCCCGATCAGCACCCAAGGGCGGACAGCTCCTCCAGCCCCTCTGCACGCCCTTCCCAGGGAGGGGGCCTGAACCACCTCGCCGCAGGCTCAGGACCCCAGCTGTCCTGTGCAGCCGCTGGGGCGCACCACGCCACCAACCCCTCCCCCCGCGCAGTTCACCAGAGGTTAGGGTGACGCCTTCCTCCGACTTCCCGGCGCAGGAGCCTCCCTGTGGCCTGTCACTCTCGCCTGTGCCCACCCGAAGACCCTCCTGTACCCGAGCCGGATCTCCCATCTCCGCCAATCCGCTTCTCACCTGCCCCCCCAAACAAACCACGCACCGATCCTTCCCCAACCAGAGCCTCTCCGTCAAGCCATCCTCCGTCCTCCAACCAGCGGCCCGCCGGCCCCCGCCCCGCCCCCAGCCTCCTCCTCGGCTCCCCTCCCCCGCCGCGCTCCGCTGCCGCGGTGTCCTGCGGGGTGTCGAGGTGTGTCGCGGGCGGGGTGTCGCAGGGCGTGTCACGAGGTGAGCGGGGCGCACGGAGCGGCGGCGCCCCTCCCCCAGCGCGCTCCGGAGAAGATGGCGGACCGCGCGGAGATGTTCGCTCTCTCCACCTTCCACTCGCTGTCGCCGCCCGGCTGCAGGTACGCCCGCCCGCGGAGCCGGACTCCGGCCGCGCGCCCCACCCCGCCGCCGCGGGACCGAGCCCCGGCCCCCGCCGCCCGAGGCCTGGACTCTGACCTCCCGCCCTCCGTTCAGGGTCTGTCCATTTTGTCCTTCCCTCATCCACGGCCTCCAGCCCCGATGACTCCCCCGCCGCTCCCCTCCCCCCCAATTTCCCCCTGGGATCCCGCGCCGCACCCAGCCCTGCAGCTGACTCCTCCAGGGTGAGGGCTCGGCCCGGCCCCTGAGGGGCAGCCTGCCTGGCCAGGACACGAGCACCCCTCTGTGCTTGGAGTGTCCTTTTGGCCTTGTGGGGCCTCTCCTTGGCGGAGGCCCGGCCTGGCCTGGCCTGCGGGGCGCAGCGAGGGAGCGCCGACATCCAGCCGGGCGTCCTGGGGGAAGGGGCCGACGTGGGGAGAGGGCCTGCCCTGGGCGGAGAGGAGAGACAAAGTAGCCAGACTCGGCTCCCAGAACGGGCTCGACCCCTCCCTCTCCTGCTGCTGCTGCAACCTCCGCTCCCCCTCCCCCACTCTGCTCAGGCTGACTCCCCTGAGACTCAGGCTGTGATCCAGAGGGGCCGGGGCTGAGCAGACAGAGGAGGACTGGGAGGAGGGCTGAGGGGACAAGCGGCCCCTCTGGGCTGGTCACGGCTCAGATCCTGGGGAAAGTCCCCTGGAGAACAGAGCTTGGGTTTCACAATGATGGCAGCATGTGTGTCTGGAAGTTGGGGGTTGTGGAGACCCTGAGGTCTAGGAACTGGGTCTCCCTTGGCCCCTCCTAGGCCCAGATCCCAGGCTGGGCACCCAGGGTTGCCGGCTCCCGCAGGAGCCCTGTCCTTGCTCTCTGATTGGGTCTCCTCTCCAGGCCTCCTCAGGACATAAGCCTGGAAGAATTTGACGATGAAGACCTGTCTGAGATCACCGATGACTGTGGCCTGGGCCTCAGCTATGACTCGGACCACTGCGAGAAGGTGGGGAGGGACTGGAGCATAAAACCCTCTCAAGGGAGAGCCTCCCTTAGGCTCCCCTTAGAGTTCACTTGGGGTTTTAGGGTGGGTCTGAGCTCAGCCTTGAAACAAGAGAGCCTCTGGTTGCCCCCTCTCCCATTGTCTCTTGGTCTAGGTTCTTTCTGGATGTCAAACCTCTTTTCTCTAGCAGACTGTAGGGCCTACACACAGTGTCTTCCCCATCCGTCCTTACAAGACCCCCATCAGCGGGCTAGCATGGGGGAGCAGAGGTGTTCCTATGCTTTGGGTGCCCTCTGTGCTCAGAGCACTTCCCAGAAAGATCTACCCCCTTCCAGCTCACCTTGTCTCCTTCCCAGCCCTGTCCTCACCTGCATCTCTCTGCCTCATGTCTCCACCCCTGCAGCTGTTTCTCCCCTATCTCCTTCCTTCTTTTCTCCTCCTCCTGTCTCTCCACGTTTCTGTTTTCATTAATTCAGGAACATGTCTGAGCAACTGCCACGTGGCAAGTGCCAGGGGCCTCCAGGTGCTTGAGAGAACAAGACAGGTGTATCTGGTGCCTGCAGGAGCTTATAACTTATTAGGGGAGAAAGACATATCAGAGGGATGGCTGCCTGAGTGTCAGGACTGGGCTTCACCTGGAGGACACAAGGTGCAGTGAGAAGGGATGGGGAACCCAGCCAGACCTTCCAGTGGAAATGGCACAGAAGCATGCCCTTAGGGAGGACTAGCAGGAGCTGGGCTGATGAGGGAGATAGGAGGGAACAGGAGAGAAATTGCCCCAAAGGGATTAACTCTGTCAGAGGCCCTGAGGTTGGTGCAAGCCAGCTGTCTCTTCCTTCATGCATTCATTTGATATTTACTGAGCTCCAGCCATGGGTGGGTCCTGTTCTTGGCTGTAGAGTATGCCAGTGCTCAGTATGGACATTCTGCCCTGGTGGGGCTTTGCAGCTTGGTGGAGGGGACAGGCCAAACACTGTCTAGTAATTGTAAATCGTATCACACTGTTACGAAGGAAAGAGTGGTGGTGTCGAATGTGATGGGGTTTGGGGTGAGATGAGGCCAGCAGTGGGTTGGGCCACTCTGAGAATCTCTGTCACCCAGGCTTAGGCATTTGGGCTCTTACCAAGAACCAGAGTGATCCTTAGGTATCTTAAGCAGATTAAAGAAAAACCGAAACTGCTCTGTTGGGGAGCAGAGTGACCTGGAGGTTTCTGCCTCTGACTTATAGCTCCCTGCTTTCCCCTTTTCTGACACCTGGGGCCCTGAGTCACTGTCACACTGTCTCCCAGCTCGGCCCTGTCTCTCCTTCCTGCAGGACAACCTCTCCCTGGGGCGTTCGGAGCAGCCGCACCCCATCTGCTCCTTCCAGGATGACTTCCAGGAGTTTGAGATGATCGATGACAATGAAGAGGAAGAGGAGGAGGAGGAAGAGGACGAGGAGGAAGGAGAGGAAGAAGGAGAGGACAAGGCAGGGGGAAGACCCCACTCAGAAGCTCCTGCTCTGGAGCTGCTGATCCCCTCCCCCTCCCTGGAGGAGCCCCACAAGCACCGGCCCACCACACTCCACCTGACCACACTGGGAGCCCAGGTGAGCACCCAGACCCATCATGGGGGACTGTGCTGCCCATGCAGCCTGTCACTCCACCCTCCACCGTACCCCCAGAGCTGGAGCCTCTGCTTAGCGCCTCTTGTGTCTTTCTCGCAGGACTCCCTGAACAACAACAATGGTGGCTTTGCCCCAGTGCCTCCAGGCTCCTGGCAGGAGACAGCGCTGTGCTCATCCCCTCAGGAGCCCCTCCGAGGAGGTGAGCAGGGCCTCGGAGGGGAAGGAAGCAAGGGAGGGAGAACGGGAGGATGGTGGGCTGGCTGACGAATGCCCCATCCCTGCTCCGCAGAGCCACCAGCCCCTCGCCCGCCCGCTGAAGCCTGTCCCCGGGGGACACAGTCGCCTGTGGGCTCAGGTTGTGACTGTGAAGGGAACCGGCCTGTGGGGCCCCTAGCGCCCAACGAGGCCTCGCCCTCCTCGGATCCTGGCATCGAGGTTGACCTGGGGAGCGGCTCCAGTGGGGACCGTGGGGGCCGTCGCAGCAGCCAGGAGCTGTCCTCGCCAGGCTCTGACTCCGAGGACGCAGGGGCAGCGCGCCTGGGGCGCATGATATCGTCCATCTCGGAGACGGAGCTGGAGCTGAGCAGCAGCAGCGGCCGCTCCTCGCACCTCACCAACTCCATCGAGGAGGCCTCATCGCCTGCCTCGGAGCCGGAGCCTGCCGGCGAGCCCCCGCGCCGCCCTGCCTTCCTACCCGTGGGCCCCGACGACACCAACAGCGAGTATGAGTCAGGCTCGGAGTCGGAGCCGGACCTCAGTGAGGACGCCGACTCGCCCTGGCTGCTCAGCAACCTCGTGAGCCGCATGATCTCCGAGGGCTCCTCGCCCATCCTCTGCCCTGGCCAGTGCCTGTCTCCCGCACTGCGTCCTCCTGGGGAGCCCACCTCGCCGGCTGGTGGGGCCCCGGAGGCTGCGGGCCCCGGAGGCGTGGAGCTGGTGGACATGGAGACACTGTGCGGGCCGCCGCCCTCCGCCCCGGCCGCGCCTCGGCCCGGCCCCGCACAGCCCGGGCCCTGCCTCTTCCTCAGCAACCCCACGCGCGACACCATCACGCCACTGTGGGCTGCCCCCGGCCGCGCTGCCCGCCCCGGCCGCGCCTGCTCCGCTGCCTGCTCAGAGGAAGACGAGGAGGAGGAGGAGGAGGAGGAGGCCGAGGACAAAGCGGGGCCCCCGGGGGGCAGGGGCGCAGGCCCTGAGGCGCCGCTGGATGCCTCGCTGGTGTATGACGCAGTCAAGTACACGCTGGTGGTGGATGAGCACACGCAGCTGGAGCTGGTGAGCCTGCGCCGCTGCGCCGGCCTGGGCGACGACAGTGAGGAGGACAGTGGTGGCGAGGCCAGCGAGGACGAGGCGGGGGCTGCCCTGCTGGGTGTTGGTCAGGGCCCGGAGGGCGCCTCCCCAGACAGCCCCGACCTCACCTTCTCCAAGAAGTTCCTCAACGTCTTCGTCAACAGCACATCTCGGTCATCCAGTGAGTGGGAGGTGGAGAAGGGGTGGCCCCGATGCCAGGTGGTCCCCAGGGGGCCCAGGGCAGCCTGCAGTCTGGGAGTGGTTGGCTGGGCATGGCCCTCTTACACCCCGGAGGGGCCGCGGGCTTCCCCCAGGCCCCTGGTAGGCTGGGTAGAGGTGGGGGGGCTGCTCTGCCTCCCTCCCCGGCTCTGGACCAGACATGTGGGGGAGGGGAACTTGCCCAAGCCTGGAAGTACTTTCCTCCCCCTCTGAGTGGCTGTCTACTGTCTGTTTCTCAGGCACTGAGTCCTTCGGCCTTTTTTCCTGTCTGGTCAACGGGGAGGAGAGAGAGCAAACCCATCGGGCTGTCTTCAGGTACTGCCTCCCTCTCGTGGTCCGTACGCAGACCTCACCGGACTCTGGCGGACACAAGCCAGCAGCCCTCTACCTCCCGGTGACTCGCCTGTTCCCTGCCCGCAGATTCATCCCTCGCCACCCCGACGAGCTGGAGCTGGATGTGGACGACCCGGTGCTGGTGGAGGCCGAGGAGGACGACTTCTGGTTCCGCGGCTTCAACATGCGCACGGGGGAGCGTGGGGTCTTCCCTGCCTTCTACGCCCACGCGGTGCCCGGCCCTGCCAAGGACCTGCTGGGTGAGGCTCCCTTTCTTGCTTTCTTTTTTTAAAAAACATTTTTTCTTTATTGATTTGAGAGAGAGAGGAAGGGAGAGGAAGAGAGATAGAGACATCGATGAGAGAGAACATCGATTGGCCGCCTCCTGCATGGCCCCCACTGGGGATCAGACCCACTACCTGGGCATGTGTCCTGACTGGGAATCGAACCAGTGACCTCTTGGTGCAGGGTCGATGCTCAACCACTGAGCCACACCAGCTGGGCGAGGCTCCATTTCCAAGGGACAGCTTGTCACCTCAGGCCCCCCCACTCTTCTGACCTGGGCCCCTTGTGAACCCCCAGGGAGCAAACGGAGCCCCTGCTGGGTGGAGCGCTTCGACGTGCAGTTCCTGGGCTCTGTGGAGGTGCCCTGTCACCAGGGCAATGGCATCTTGTGCGCAGCCATGCAGAAGGTCAGTGTGGAGGGGGCCACCCCGCCTCCTAGGCTGCCAGCCCCTGCAGGGGCCAGACCTCTGTGGGGAGGCCCCCACCCTGATTCAGAGGCCTGGGCAGGGCTCACAGCTGTCCCCCGTCACCTTGGGGTCCCTTGGCGGGCTCAGTGGGGCCTCCGCCTTCCTTTATCCCGTCCTCCTCTGCGTGAAAATCCAGACCGGCTCTCACTGAGCCTTCCTAGGGGTCATCTGCTCACTCAGTCACAGACTCAGCGGGCAGTTAGTGATCAGCAGTCATCTGCTGGTGGAGCAGGACAGCCCTGTCCCTGAGACGCCCCCATCCAGGCTATGGGGACAGGCAGGGAAAGCTGGGGTGGTGGGGGCCGGGGTGGGGCTACCAGGTTAGAAGGAAGGGTGAGTGCAGAGGGGTGACTGGCTGGTCCCGAGACTGAGGAGTGTCCCGGACCCTGCTCACGTGCTCCAGATCAGGGCCAAGGACCTTCGAACTGATCTAAACTGTCCCACCAGTAGGGGGGCCCCTGAGCCCCTCTTCTCCGCTGACTTCTCCCCAGATCGCCACTGCCCGGAAACTGACGGTCCACTTGCGTCCTCCTGCCTCCTGTGACCTGGAGATATCTCTTCGGGGGGTCAAGCTGAGTCTGAGCGGTGGACCCGAGGTGGGGTGTGGGGCTTGAGGCAGGGGAGGCTGGGGGCCCGCCTGGGGCATCCCGCAGGGGTGGAGGAGTGTCCCCGATGACTCCTCTAATGGGCGTCTCTGCCCCTGCCCCAGCTCGAGCACTGCAGCCATTTCTTCCAGATGAAGAACATCTCCTTCTGCGGCTGCCACCCTCGCAACAGCTGGTGAGAGCCTCCCCCAGAGTCCCCAACCCTGAGGCTGCCCCCAGGCTCAGGAGACACAGATCAAACAGGCTTCTGTCTGGCCGGGGGTGCAGACAGACAGGCACACAGACAAGTGAGTGCTGAAGGCCTGTGGGGTCTGGTGGTCACCCGCATGGGGCTCCAGTGAGCAGACCTGTGGTTGGTGGTGGGGCTGGGACTCAGGAGGCGACTGAAGACCACTCTGCATTCTGGACGGCCAAGTAGGTGGCGGTGGGTCTTCCAAGGAGGCAGCTGAGCCCAGGCTGTGGGTGAGGGGCAGCAGGGGTCTCAGGGTGTAGCTGGGTGAGGCTGGAGGGACGCGGGTACCTGTGCCCTTCTGACTATGCCAAGGAGCTTGTACTTGATCCCATTGTTTTGCTTTGGGGCCACAGTGTGACACAGTCAGGTTGACCAGCTGGTTCTGCAGAGTGGCTGGACCTAGGTGCAGGCCAGGTGGCTGCTGAGGGCACCCAGGTGCTGTGGCGGCCCTGGGGAGGTGGGACAGGCAGGACCTGGGTTGCCTGGATGTAGCCGCTGACGTGCCATCTGGGTAATGGGCAGATGTGACCACTGGCAAGTGAAGTGCTGACAGCCTGGGGACCCAGCGTTCATCCACAGGTGCAGGGGGACTGAGCAGCCATGGTCACATGGGTCTGGAGTGTGGGAGAGAGACCTGGAGGGAAGGTGTCCGCTCGGAGCAGGTGGATAACTGCGGCCGTGAGGGAATGCGATAGCCAGGCAGAGAGAAGTGACGGGCGTGAGAGGGGAGGGGCAGTGCCAGCATTGTCACCAGCGGGTGTGGGGTGCAGGCTTCCTGCCCAGACCAACTGCTGTCCACGGCGTCCCCATGTCCGAAGGAGGGGAGGCGGTAACCAGAGAGCAGGCCCCACCAGGGCTCACGAGGACTCGGTGGGCTGTTGGAGGAAGGACACAGAGCTGCTGGGCCGGCTCTCTGTGGCTGGGGGGGTGTCGCCCTCGGCAGGTCAGCCAGGTTAGATGGTGTGAGAGGACCCACCGTCTGGACGCTGCTCTGAGGGGTGGACAGCTGGACAGTGCCCAGGCTCAGACCAGACATGTGGACAGGGGCCGAGGATGATGCCAACCAGAGGGGAAAAGACACCGTTATTTCTCAACGGAGAGAAACTGGCTGCCCAGCTAGGGCCTCCAGGCCAGACAGTGGCCCAGGTGCAATTCCTTGAGAAAAGGGGGGTCAGACCAGTGGTTCTGGATCCAGATGTGGAGGCAGTGGGGGAGGGGAGCCCTTCCTAATGTTTGTTCCTTCAGCACTCAGCCCAGTCCCTGACAGTGAGAACACACTTACGAAGGCGCGTCAGGCGACTGGTCAGAGCAGGTGTGTGCGGGCGTGTTGTTCGGATGAGGCAGCATGTCGCCTTGGAGATCGCAGCCTGCTACCGACTGGCTGTGTGTCCTCGGGCAGGTTTCCAACCCTCTCTGGGCTGAGGCTCTCTCGTCTCAGAGCTGCTGTGAGGTTCCTGTGAGTGAATAATCTAACGAGGCAGAACGGTGCCTGGTGCTTGGTAAGCGGCATCTAAGTTTCGGTGACCATGACTGAGTGTTTGACCATGGCGTCGGAGGCCGTGCCGTGTTCGTGAACCACAGGAGCATGTTTGCTGGCCACAGGGCCGTCACGTGGTTCCTATCTGGAGGAGCCACGCAGTCCCAGTTCCGTCGATGTGGTGGAATTGGCCACAGTTGGGGGAGTCTCAAATCTCGTGCTGCGGGCCTCTCTGGACAATCTTTCCATTGACGTCGTGAAAAGAAAGGCAGAGGTGAACCACAGCTGCACAGGGACTAGATGAAGGGCAGCCGGTGCGAGGTTCTGCTCCGGGAAGAGGGTTTCGCAGGTGATGGGCCGCTGCCCAGCCCACGTTAGAGCTCAGAGAGCAGCTGTTTGCAGGACCTGAGGTGGGGCTGGGCAGGCTCAGGGCGACAGGTGACACAGACCAGGCAGGGGTCAGCTGAGACAGGGCTGGGTGAGGCCTCGCTGTGGTCTGTGGCCCAGCGCCGGCTCCGGGTGGGGGCCACAGCACTGGCTCGAAGAAGGAAGCAGCAGCTGGACACCCCCGCTGTGGAGAAGTTAACACGGATCATAACTCCTCAGTGGTGCCTATGCTGGGGTTGGACCCAAAAGATGCCTTTGAGTCCCTGAGTCATGGGACCCACACATTTCTCCTATCCCCATCCTCCGCCGGAGCCCTCGGTGGCTGCCTTGTCTGTCCAGATTGCTGGGGGGCCTGAGGTGAGTGGCCATGCTCTGATGCCCACACGCTGACCCCCTGTAGCTATTTTGGCTTCATCACGAAACACCCTCTGCTGAGCCGCTTTGCCTGCCATGTCTTTGTCTCCCAGGAGTCGATGAGGCCCGTGGCCCAGAGTGTGGGGTGAGTGGGTCAGAGGGATTGGGGGGGTCCGGTGGGGGTGGGCGGGCACAGGGGTGCCGATAAGGGAGTTGGCCTGGGGAGATGGGCTGGGAGGTGAGGTTTGGGGGCCTTGGGGACTGGGGAGTGGGGTGCAGAGTTTGGGCAGACCTGAGTGGGAAGGTCAGGTGAGAAGCAGTAGAGGTGGGTGGGAACTGGGATGGGAGCTGGGAGCAGACCCTGGGAGTGGGAAGGGGCAGGCACACTGCCTGGGTGGCGGTCAAGGGGGGATTGGGGCGTGGGGCCTGTAGTGACCAGGACGGCTGGGGAGTGACCTCTGGGGGAGCCAGGCGGGCCCAGTTGGGCGGGAGGAAGCCGAGGGCAGCCCTGAGTGGCAGGTGGCTGCTGCTGTCTCCCCAGCCGCGCCTTCCTGGAGTATTACCAGGAGCACCTGGACTACGCCTGCCCCACAGAGGACATCTACCTGGAGTAGCTGCCCGCCACACTCCTGCTCCAGGTGCAGCTGGTGTTGGGGTATCTGAGAGGCCACGCGGCTTTGGCAAGGACTGGATTGGGGGCACGTGGGACCTGCCTTCCGGGGAGTCTCAGACACTCCTTGCTTGGCAGGGGCTGCGGGAGGGAGAGCTGTGCCCCCCGCTTTCCCTGTGATCTCCTGTCTGTCTGTGTGCCTCCTCTCCTCGTGTCTGTCTCTGCCCCGTGCCTGCAAACTCTCCCCTCGCTCTTCACTGTGGGGTCAGAGCTGGGAGGGGGTGTGGAGGAAGGAGAGGCTCCATCCAGGTGATTGATAAAGCCAGGCTCCCAGGTGGCCCCTCACGCCCCTCCCCAGTGATGTAAAAGGAATTTTAATTTTTATAGTGAATCTCAAGGGGTCACCCCATCCTTGACCACAGGGACAAAGAGAGGGACCCCCACGCTGCCCCACATGGAGCTCAGGGGGAAGCAGGGAGGGGTTCCCCAGAAGGGCTTTGGGGATACTCCTCAAGCCCCAGACTTTGCTCGAAGGAGGGTGCCCTGCCCCGTGCTCTGCCACACCAGCGTCTGCTTTGCCGCTGCAAACTCCCCGCAGTCCAGCACCTCAATAAACTCTGCTTGGTGTGACCCTGTGTATTTCTGGGGGGGACACATGATAGGTCAGGTGCCCAGGCGCTGCCCGTGGGGTTACGAGAAGCCTCGCCCCTCAGTGCTCTCCGAAGTCGGGCCAGGGGTCCCTGTGGTGCCCACTGGGGATTCTCCCCCCCCCCCCATGCAGTCAAGTGGCTGGAGAGACAGGTTGCTGGTCCCCGCTCTGGGGCGCGGGGCCGGGGAGTGGGTGTGTGTGTCGTGAGTGTGCGGGAGGGCAGCAGCCAGTCTGTTTAGATCTTAAAACCGGTATTTTAAACATTCTGCACAAAGAACCAGAAGAAAGGAGTCGACCATTTTTCACTGTGCCCTTAGGTTTTTCTAGATGCTACTTCCCGGAGAATGGGCTTCCCTGGCCCCTCGCCACCCTGAGCCCCACGCTCAGGAGCTGAGGTCAGCAGGCTCCTCGCCAGGACGACAGGCCCTGGGGGGGGGGGGCACAGGTGGAACCGGGCTCTGCTTCGGTGTCTCAGGAAGCAGGCCCGGCCTCAAACACTCAGCACCTTCCCTGGCTGGCAGGCACCGTGTCCTCATCTGCAGCCCACATTTGTGGGACTGGGTTAGGAAATAATGTGCCTCTGTTGTCGCAGCCAACCTGTGGAAGCTGCCCCCCAAAGATCTTACTGGGAGAGTGTTGAGAAGGAACAGAGTGGGAACGAGATGGGCGGCTTGGCCCTGCTGTGGGTCCCCATGTCCTGGAGATCACTGCTGGGCAGGGGCCGACTAGTGGACCCCAACAAGGAGGTGGGTGCTGCGGGAAGATGGCAGGCTCTGGACAGTAGGCATCTTAACTCATGCTCATTCCTTATTGTGAAGTGTTTACAAAGTGTCCCCACTCTTGCTGGGGAATCCTGGGCCCTGACTGCGTGTTTACTCAGGTGACCCCCCACCCTCTCCCCCTTGGGGCAGGGAGGTGCGAGACTCCACAGACAGTGGAGATGCAGGCACTGTCTGGGGTGCTCTAACAGCACACACTCATTTTGTAATGAAAAACATTCTGAGAAGAAGCGAATTTAAATATTCCATGGAAACGGCCTCTTTTGCTCCCCCTTCTGGTCACTTGTGGGAGAGGCGAGTGGGGATGAGCAGAGACGGGTGGTGGGAGGGTGCCTTGGGGCCTCTTCCTAACACACCTGAGGGACCCACAGAAGCAGCATGTCTGTCTGTCCGTCCCCACTCAGCTCCTTCCAGAGGACACGGGCCGAGGAAGCCCTGGGGAGAGGATGATGTCAGACTTACAGGAAAAGGGGCTGGTTTTCAAATCAACTGTGAAGAAGAAAGGGAAGGGTCAGGACATTGTGACAGTGTTGGGCCACAAGAGCGTGAACGAATGTGTGTGTGCACACATCTGTGAGTGTGTGTGTGCACAAGTGCCCGCACAAGGAGGGTGCACTGCACGGATACACCTGAAAAAACAAACACGCATTTCTACTCCCAAAAGCATCACAGCAAACCCGAGTGACAGGGGGTGGGAGGGCTGCTCCCTTCCAGCCCTGGGTGCAGAGGTGGGATTGAACTCGGGGGACAGGGGAGCCTCCTGCCTGGGTCAGTTATTTCCCCCCACCAGTGGTTACACTCTTGTAGAAACAAATCCTTCCCTTCTTCTTCACTGTTAAGTTTTTATTTCTATTGAAGCATAAAACACACATGACATGATAAAGTGCACATATTGCCCTGGCCGGTTTGGCTCAGCGGTTAGAGCGTCGACCTGCGGTCCTGAGAGACCCGGGTTCGGTTCCCGCTAAGGGCGCGTACCTCGGTTGCAGTTTGTCCCCGGCCCCTGGTCGGTCGTGCGGAATCTTGTGTGTGTAGCTCAAATGCTTTATACACACGTCTGCACCCCCACCCCGTCACGATGGGGAACAGTGGAAGCACACAGGGGCCCTCATGCCCCTTCCCAGGCCATGTCCACACACCCACCTACAGAGCTGCGGGCTCCCATCACTGGAAATCACATGTCTGAGGTCCCAGGGTCCATGCTCATCTTTGCTAGATGGTGGGCACCACGGAGCAGGGATGGGTCCCCTCTGGTGACCTGTGTCCCAGCACCATGCATGGCCCTGGGTGGCAAATAAGCATGTGAACTAACCAAGTGACGTTTATTACCCAGGTGGGGCCACAGGCCTGGAGGAGGTGCCTGCAGATTGCACGGGGTGTTCCCATCCACTTAGTCCCCGCTGAGTGCTTGGTCTTGGGGCCCAGTGCTCAGATTGTTCCCCTGCTTCAGTTCCTTTCCTTAGCCTGGAACCAAGACACCTGGCAAGGACATGGCCCCCCCCCAGAAGAGTAGATGCAGATGCCAGGGTGTGCACGCCCAGCCCAGGTAGACCAGTGCCTCTGCTCGACCACACGTGCAGGTGGGCCCTCCTGAAGCCAGCAGCAGTGGGTTCCCAGGGAAACCACCACCGTGTGGGCGTGGCCCTAAGGCACCCTAGGGTTCAGGGCACGGTCAGTGCAGCCCCCAAGCCAGACGGTAGGTGGTGGGAGAGACATGTGGAGAACACGATCGTCGCTGGCACCACAGGCCCACTGGGGAGCCCCCTGCACACGCACAGGTGCCCGCCACACGTCCCGTTCACGCGCCATCCCAGGAAGGCTGCCTTCCACCGCAAGTAACAGACAACCCACCAGCAGCGGCTTCAACAGCAGGGTTTATTTTCTTACATTGTGAGCTCCGGAGGTAGACGGTTGGAGACACAGGCTGAGCAGCTGCGCAATGTCTGGTCAGGACGTGGAACCGTCACACAGCCCCCAGACGACCCAGGGGTCCCAGCAGACTGCCCCTGACCTTCCACTAATCAGGACTCTCTGGACCAGGCCTGGGACTGGCTACTGCTCTTCTGGGACAAGGAGAGGCTGTACCTCAAACGTCCAGGGCCTCTGCCCACCACTGAAAAGTCGGGGCCCAGGAACAAGGGCATAGCCAGCTGGGCCCGTGCACCCACATGGCCCTCCTCTCCTTCAGACAACCGAGGGAGCACACGTGGCCGGCCACCAGCACACCCGTGGGGACCCACAAGAGCTTCACGCCACTGCACGGGTACGGGGGGGTCATCAGGAGGGTCTCGCAGAGCCTGAGATGAGGGGACAGGCAGGCTGAGGGGCGAGGGCAGGGCTGGGCGGGCATGGCAGCCCCTCTAGGGAGTCCGCATGTTATTCTGAGTCTGTGGTTCTGAGCAGGGACGGAAGGAAACCTAACCTGCTTTTAAGGGCACTTTGCTGGGTGCACAGCTTGCACTGGGTCACAGGTACCAGGGAACATGTGCACAGGCCGGAATGCAGTGCTTGGGGGGCAGAGGTGGGCCAGGGTCACGGTGGGGTGGGGGTGTCTCAGAAGCTGCTCATGCACTTTCCTCGAGTCCGGTGGGCCCCCAGCTCCCTCATCCCCACCCGGATGTGCGCTCATCACCCACCTGTAACAGGTTTCTGGAAAGAGCGAAGATGGTCTGGTCCCTGCACCTCCAGGAAAACCCGCTCTTGGGCGCTGGGCACCTGGGGGGTCTCCTGCCCGCGGCGCCCTCACACCCTCTCCACCCGCTCCTGGCACACACAGGCACTCAGCGCAGCTCCGGGGAACCGACCTGCAATCACGGGAGCCAGGATGCCGGGGTGCAGACCCCTGCCCGGCCCCTCACTGGCTGGTCACCTCAGCCAGTCACAGGCCTCGGTCTCCTCATTCTCCCACAGGCAGAACAGCACCTACCTCTGGCCACCACAAGGATTAGATGAGTCATCACACCTACAAGTGTCAGCTGGTGTTATTGGGTTATCAGGTACAACCGTGTCCTTGCCTGAGCCTCCGACACAGGAGGGCGGGGGCCGGGGCCCTCAGGGTGGGATCCCTGGGCAGTGGCAGCAGGTTGGCCAGGGGATGCAGCTGGGCTGGCAGCACAACTGCAGGGCAGCGTCCTCCCCGAGGGCCATCTGGCTGGGGCTGAAGGTCATGCTAGCATCAAACTGGGCCTTGAGCAGCTGAAGCTCCTTCATCGCCTCCAGAGCCTCCTGGTCGACCTCAGCCCCATTCCCCAGAAGGTTGTAGTTCTCACCAGGGTCCTCAGAGAGGTCGAAAAGCATTGGGGGCTCATGGGCAGTCAGAGGACTGGAGGAGTGGCAGGCAGGGTCTGGTGTGTTGTCACTGTGGGCGGAGCCTGGGGAGGACGACACAGGGCAAGAGCTGTGGGCAGGCTCTGGGGCCAGGAGGGGTCACTGGGGCGGGGGGAGAGAGTTACCCTGGGTGAAGAAGTGGGCCTTGTACTTTCCGCTCCGCACAGCAAAGACCCCTCGGATCTCATCGGGGTACGTTGGGTAGAAGTACATATTCTGCCGGAGACTCTGAGGGCAAAGTCGGGGGTCATGGGGCAGAGCCCCAACACTGATTAGGCCTTGAATGTGCCCACCCAGGAGCCCCAGAGGCAACAGAGGTGACCTGCACACAGTCACGCCTGGGGCGTGGGGCGTGGGCCTGCTGGCTCTACCTTGCCTGTGCCCAGCAGCAGGGGGCTGAAGTCAATGCCATCCAAGGTGACGTTGGGCAGCGGGGCCCCAGACAGGGCTGCCAGTGTGGGCAGTAGGTCCAGGGAGCTGACCAGATCATGGGTCACACCTGGGGACAGAAGGCTGTGTGGTCACTTGATTCAACATCAGGATTGGGGAGGTGGGGCCAGGGGTCCCCCAGGAGAGGACCTGAAGACTGACCAGGAGTGATGTGGCCTGGCCAGAAGGCCACGGCAGGCACTCGGACGCCCCCGTCGAAGGTGGTTCCCTTTCCACATCGCAGGACACCAGAACAGCCACCGTGGGACATCCGCATCGTTTCTGGCCTGGGACACACAGGTGGTCATCAGCGTCTCTGACTCGATCCGGTGGCCCCAGCCCCAGATTTCTAAGTCACATGCACAGAAATGGCAAGCAGGTGCCTGTCCCCTCTTTATCCTCCTAGGACCAGCTTCCATGCACTGTGACCTGCCTCCCAAGTGTATCTGTAAGTCACCATAACGCGGCATTTTCTGAGATCCCTTATCCCACTATGTCCATGGCCAACAGTCAAGATAGAGAGACCCCAGAATCCTGCCTGTGAGGAGCCAACCTGTGCCTGCCCCCCTCTGCTGCATACCCGTTGTCTGCTGTGAAGATGACCAGGGTCTCTCCAAGCAGCCCCAGGTCCCCCACAGCCGTCATCAGGGCCCCCACAGCCGCGTCCAGCTCCATCAGGGAGTCTCCGAACGGCCCTCGGCCTGAGCGCCCAACGAAGCTCTGTCCGCTGAACTGAGGGTAGTGGGTGTGCTGGGGGCAGAGACTGGAGTTAGCACTGAGCAGGGGTCAGGGCAGCCCAGGGTGCAGGGCCAGGGTCACTCACGTGGGAGGCATAGTACAGGAAGAACGGGCGGCCCTGGCGCTGGGCATCAATCATGAGTTCATGCGAGAAAGCCACGTAGCGGGCCTCGAGTCCAGGCAGCCAGGGCGGCTGCGCCTCCACAGACAGGTTAGCCAGCAGTGGGATGGCCACCAGGCCCTGGTCACAGATTCCATTGCAGGGGGTGGCTGGCGGGAAGCACGTCAGGTTCTGGCAAGGGCCCTGGGGGAGCAGCTCCATTCAGGGTCTCGGCTGTGGGGTGGGGCTGGGAAGCCAAGGGAAGGGTAGTGGTAGGAAGTGGACAAGGGGCAGTCGAAGGCCCTGGCTGTTCCTACCTGGTCATGGGAGTATGGGATGCCCAGGAATCGATGGAAGCCATGATGGGGGGGCAGAAAGGCCCCTTGAGGCCCCACCCCAAGATGCCACTTGCCAGCCATCCCTGTGAGGTAGCCTTGGGCAGCCAGGATCTCAGCCAGGGTCACCTCCTCCAGGGGCAGGCCCCCTCGGGAACCAGGCTCCAGAACTCCAGGGTACATGCCTGTCCGAACTGGGAGTCGGCCGGTCAGGAGGGCTGCCCTGCAGAGCAGGTCAGAGTCCGTGAGACCGAGAGATGGCAGAGAACTGTGACTCCCTCACTGCAATCCAAGGGAACCCAGAGGAACTGGACGGTCTGGTGGGCACGGGGTGAGGGCCCCTCCGCCCTCTTGCTCACCGGGAGGGCGTGCACAGAGACACTGGCACGTAGAAGTCGGTGAACCGCAGCCCTGCTGAGGCCAGCTGGTCCAGGTTAGGGGTGGTGGAACTGGGGTGGCCGTAGGAGCCCAGGTCCCCATAGCCCAGGTCATCAGCAAAGATCAGCACGATGTTAGGTGGGTAGGCAGCGGCCAGACCTGCAGCCACGGCCAGAACCAGGGCCCACAGCACCACCATGGCACACGGCACAAACGAGCTTGTCACAGGAGACCCTTGGGAAAGAGAGCAAACGGGCTCCAGCTCTGGTCCTGAGGCCCCAGCCCAGGCACTACCTCGCCTGAGGCCCCAGACCCCAACAATCCCGAGTCAGACAACAGGTAACCCCTCCCTACCCCCAACAGTAGCCGGGAACACAACTTCCTGGGGATCCTCCGGGACCGGGACACCTGCAGATTCTCCTCAGAGACCTGACCCTCTCCTAGGCGTCTCGGCCCAGGCTCGTGGTCAGGGGCAGGAGTCACATGACACTGACCGGCGGGGTCCGGCTGCGAGAGAGAGCAGGGCAGAGCTGAGCGGGGGCAGGTCCCGGACAGCGGGTAGCGGAGCCCCGTGGGCACTTCCGCCTCGGCCCCGCCCCCGGCCCGCCCCGCGCTCCAGTGACGCGCCGCGCGCCGGTTCCGACACGGGGCGGAGCGGGGCGGGGCGGAGCGGAGGGTCCCGGGCCTGCGGTCCGGGCCGGGGCCTGTTCGCACCGGGACGGGTCGGAGTCTGGGGTCGTGGCCGGGTGGCCGCGGCGGGACGCGGAGGGCGCAGGGCGGAGCGGGTGCGCGCAGGTGCGCGCGGGGCTGCTGCGCTTCCGAGGCCGTTGGCGCCGGGGCGCGGGCCTGGGGGGCGGGCCTGGGGGGCGGCGCGAGGGTGGGTGGGGCTTCCGGCGTTCGCGCGGGCGTGCGGGGCCTGTCCCGGCCTCCCGGACTGGGGCTGGGGCGGTCCTTAGAGGTGAGCGCGCCCGGTGAGCCAGCGAACCTCTGCTGGCTTTTCCTTCGACACATCTTACACTGGTTTTGAAACACGCGGTAGCGAATTCTTTCAAACCCTTGCCCCTCCGTGTGTGAGAGGTGTGTCGGGCATCTGGGGTCTGGTCTGTCTCCGGGGTACCCCAGTGGGAAGGACCCATCAGAAGAGAAGATGCGTGGTCCTGGCTCCCTGTCACTGAACAGATAGCCTTGGACAGGTGACTCATCTTTTGTCCCCCAGTTTGGCTGTCTGAAAGTAAGAGCCCCAGAGGGTCGTTAGGTGGGTAATGTACTCAGAGCACTGCCCCCCCCCCCCCCCGAGAACCCTCCCCAGGGCAGCTTTCTGGCCTCAGGTTCCTCCACAAGCTCAGGGCACCACTCTGGGACCTCTGACCTCAGGAGAAGTAGGACCTGGGCTACTGTGACTACTGACCCTGGAACCAGTGGGAGAATGGACAGGGCCCTGGAAAGGCCTCTGGGACCGGGGTGGGGTGAGGACACAGCTTTCACAGAAGCCCAGCCCTGTCTGGGGAGCTGGCATTTTTCTGATGTGACATGGACTCAAGACAAGGGGCAGTGTGGGGAGCAAAATTTGAAGGGCAGGGACTCCCAGAGATGGGACTGCTGACCTCATGGGGAAGGAAGGGGCCAGTCTCCAGGAGCCATACCCTTGGTGTCCCCTTCCATCGTGATTTCTGGGCTTGTGCGTGGGAGCTGAATGGGGAGGGTGGCCTAGACAGAAAGTTTCTCTAAGGCCCAGAAATCTTTGAACCTGTAATTGGAGCGATCACAGCTGGTGGGTGCTGTGAATTGGAGTTTAAAGGAACCAACCAAAGGCCCTTTCTGCCCTTTCTGTTGCAAGCTGGGAACTACCCCAGGCAGCAAGGACCTGCCCTGATTCTCAGAAAGAGCCTGCAGGAGGTTGTAATGTTATACAAATGGCTGGCAATGTCCCCTGCTGGTTCTGGAGGCTGCTCAGGTGTGTGCACACGGGACAGTGAAGCCAGCCCAGCCCTGACCTCAGGTTGGGGGAGGAGGTGCGTGTGCCAACCAGCTATGTTTGTTCAAAGCCAAGCCTCTGCAGGCAGCTGAGTCTTTTGGAGATGTGAGCTCTTTTTGGCATTGCTGCAGAAGTGGGCAAGAGGGTCAGCTTGGGGCAGAGCCCCAGTGGGAGGCAGCCCACCAGGGTGCAGGAAGTAGCTTGGTTGGACCCCTGGGCCATTGCTAATTTAGAACTAACATCCACAGTTAGCAGAGGGGCCTTGCAAAGAGTAGTCTGTGTCTTGTCTTTCCGCCACTAGGACCAGACATGAGAGAGGCCTCCATCTCCTGGGCCTTCATGGTGTGGGTGGGGTGGGTGAGTTGCCTCAGCAGGAACATGGCCACCTGAAGGGATCCTGCAGTGTTTCCTGGGCCCGGCTGATGTGGACACTGGAGGCCAGCCACCCAGGCCTCTGCCTGCCTCTCACTCTGATCTGCCTCCTTGCCCTCAGCAACCACTGTTTCAGCTTCCCCATTGGCCACCCAGCTTATTTTCTCCCCCTTAGCCACCCAGTCACAGTGTGGTTGGTCCCAGTTCCAGAGGACTCTGCTGGTACGTGCATACCTCAGCCAAGAGTGGGTAGCCGGTGACTAATTCTTTGCTTGACCAAACTTCAGTCAGGCTCCTGAACCTTCAGGTAGGCCCATCTGTTCCCTTCCTTGTAAAGTCCAGTTTTAACAAGAACCCTGCTGAGTCAACTTAGCAAGAACACCCACCCCCAATATCTGATCAGCTTCTTCATCCTGGGCCATGCTCAAGTGTGTCTGATCACCTGTCTGCCTTCAGCAAGAGTCCTGGTGGGCCCTGGCTGGTGTGACTCAGTGTCAGAGCATTGGCCCCTGTACTGAAGGGTCACGGGTTCGATTTCCGCTCAAGGGCATGTACCTGGGTTGCAGGTTCACTCCCTGGCCCCAGTCAGGGTGTGTGTAGGAGGGAACCAGTCAATATGTCTCTCTCACATTGATGTTTCTCTCTCCCCCTATTCCCTTCCACTCTCTAAAAATCATTGGGGAAAAAAAATCCTCAGGTGAGGATTAACAACAACAACAACAACAAAAAGTCCTGGTGGTTGGGTTTAGCCAGAATTCCCACCCTTCCTGCTGTCAGTGATACCTCGGTTCTCGAACATAATTCGTTCCAGGAGGATGGTCGAGAACCGAATTGTTCGAGAACCGAAGCAATGAAACCCAATAGGAAAGCGTGACTCCACAAAGCGTGACTCTCTCTCTGCACTCACACTGATGACGCAAGCAAGGCGCGCTGGGCCGAATGAACGCCATTCGGCTCAACTCGGCTCATCTCGGAAGTTCGAGTTCCAAATATTTGTTCGGATTCCGAGACAAAAGTTTCTCGAATCTCCTGGTCGAATACCGATTTGGTCGAAAACCGAGGCGTTCGAGAACCGAGGTATCACTGTAGTAATTTTCCACCCACTGACCCCCACCTGCTCCTTGGCTATCAGAGGGGAGGAAAAGTTTTCCTTGAACCTTATAAGGTCCCTGACTGGACCTGAAAATTAAACTGACAGAATCTTCATCATAGAAGTATACACATTTCATTAATTTTATAAGTTTGATGTGACATGGGAGACGTCATAAGGAATTGAATACCTGAAGAAACAGTTAAACCTGCTTATGTCATGCTAGTCTGATGGGGATAGTCAAGGAGATGACCAGTCAAGGAGCGTGAGGCTGGCATAGTGAAATTGGGGAACCTTCGCAAGACCCATCTGTCTGTTCAGATTCTTCCCGGTCTTTGGTGGAAGGAGACTCCTTTCCTCTGGGTATGGGGGCACTTCTCCCATGAGGGTTTGATGGCCTGTTTTGGGGAGAAGAGGGGGTGTCAGTGACCTGCTTCTGAAACTCCTTCAGTTTAAAATAACATGCCGAGGTGCCTCACTCGGGTAACGTGTCCTGAACCCCATCACTGTAAGTTCCCACTTGCTGCAATCAGATTGAGCCCACCTGTGCCCCACTGGAGAATGTAATTGCAGTGGTCTGTGCACCCAGCAGGATGGTCCTGAATAAAGTCTGACTTATGGTGCCCATTGGAATTGAAACTGGAAAAAATTATCCGTGGTCAGGTCCGGACTGCCTGTTGCCACACAAGCAAACTTGCAAGATGGGCTGAGGTGAAGGAAAGAAGTTTATTCCAATTGCTGGCAACTGGGGAGATGGCAGACTTTTCTTGTTCTCAGAAACCTGTGTCTTCCTCTCAGTGCAGGCCAGGGTTTTTATGAGGAGGCAGAGGGAAAGCAGAACAAAGACATCAGGGCAAGAGGGTGTAGGAAGGGAGTACAAAGTGGGTTCTGGTGATTTGCAGTCCTAGAATTTGAGCCCCTGTGAGGGTCTTGATGAATATTTTTATTACTGGTCTCTGGAACAGGATGGCCAGCATCTCGGTGTTTCTGAGACCTTATTGTTCAGTCTCTGCGTTCCTGGTGCCAAGTGTGTAATTAAAAGTCTCTTCATTCTTGCCTGGTCAACTGAGAATTGCAACAAAATCTTAGAGCATAGGTTAAATATATATCGTTGATTAATTACACGTTCTATTAATAAAAGGGTAGGAAAGAAAAGAGAAAGATAGCCCTGTGGGTGTGGCTCAGTGGTTGAGCATCAACCCATGCACCAAGAGGTCGCTGGTTTGATTCCTGGTGAGGGCACATGCCCAGGTTGTGGGCCGAACCCCCAATGAGGGGCATGCAGGAGGCGGCCCATCGATGTTCTCTCTCATCGATGTTTCTTTCTCTCTCCTTCTCACTTCCTCTCTCTCTAAAATCAATAAAGAAAAACTTTTTTAGCCCTGGCCAATTTGGCTCAGCGGTTAGAGCGTCGGCCTGCAGTCCGGAGAGACCCGGGTTCGGTTCCCGCTAAGGGCACGTACTTTGGTTGCAGTTTGTCCCCGGCCCTGGTTGGTCGTGCAGGTGGCAGCCACTCGATGTGTCCCTTCACGTTGATGTTCCTCTCTCTCCCTCCCACTTTATCTGTACAAAAAATAGAAAAATATCCTCGGGTGAGGATAAAAAAAAAAAAGAAAAACTTTTTTAGAAAAAAGAAAAGAGAGAGATAGAGAAGAGGGGAAAAACAACAATCATACTTTATTCTACCTTTATACTCCTATCAGAATGGAGAGGGGGGCATGGGAGAGGCTCCCCAGGAGGGCTGTGGCTGGTGGGTGGTGGCTCTGTGTGGTGCTGGCCCTTAGTCCCCACCCCCCAGCCCCATCCCATCCCATTGCAGACCAGCTGTATGCCTGGGCCTCAGGCTGCTGACCTTGCTGTGCCCTATCTGGATTTCTTTTCTTTCTTTTTTTTTTAGATAGCTAGATAGCGTGGGAGGGAGAGAGAGAGAGAGAGAGAAACATCGATGTGAAGGGACACATCGAGTGGCTGCCACCCGCACGACCAACCAGGGCTGGGGTCAAACTGCAACCGAGGTACGTGCCCTTAGCGGAACCGAACCCGGGTCTCTCTGGACCGCAGGCCGACTCTC